TCCCCCTCCCCCCTTTGAACCGCATACCGCGCCAATGGTTGCCGATGCTATCCCCGCCTGAATGAAAGTCTGTGGGCCAAACGAAAGAGGCAAGGGCCTTGTAGGGGGAAAGGGGGGAGGGGGGAGGAGGCTGCCAGTAGATATGCGGAGAACCTTGTGTCAAGTTGCCACTGTGCCGCGTGCCGCGGTTTTAATTCTGCAGAAACAGTGAACTGTAATCCTCTACAAACATAAAAAAAAGTTAAAAAAAGGCAGGAACAGTGTCCTTTAATTGTGTGCTTTAGGTTCTATTTGAAGTATCGAAACAGTCCACCGAGTAAAAAGCAAACGTATGAGAATCTTATTCAGTGATGGTTTTGAAGCACTTTAAGTTTCTTCAATGTAAAGAAGAGCAATATTTACAACAGCAGCTGATGATTTTGGTCGTGATGACTGCCTTTGCAAAACTACACAAATATTTTAATTGATAGCTCTAGGAATGTCGTAGTTGTACATTATTTATGTCGAACGATGTAAGCCCGGGCCTCGTTATTTCGCGATAATAATCTGTCAAGAATAGTTCGCAATTGAAATTAACGAGCATTATTCGTCAATTGCGGTTTTGAACTGTTCGTAGCGGTATATAACAAACTTTTCGTAGCAGCACGATTTAATACTGTAAATAATTGATCAGGATGTTAGAATGTTTGTTTCAATAAGTTTTGTGTCCAGGGGCGTTCTTTTATGACAATCGAGTTACAAACTGTTATTTGAAGAATGTATTCGTAACTTTATAATGACGAAGAGTTTGTGTATAAAAACTAACATGACATTTTTCGTCAAATTACAGTATGATATATTTTCCAACAGTGGGGAAGAAGTTTTACCGGCCTGTACGCTGTACGTCTGTCATTGTATTACAACTCTTGTGTTGTATATTTCCACTATGACGCCTGTTGTTTCGGAACATGTACCAACATGCAGATATACTTTGATACTATAAAAGTATGCGACAAATATGTTCAAAATCAAACTACAAATTCTAACAGTGCAGTAAAATCGGTCGGACAGTCGGAAACATAACTGGTTAGACGAAGGTAAAATGCCCGAACTTTATAAGGCACTAAAGCTCCAAAGGCATCACAGGTCCTGTTTCTTTGAAATATTTCCCTCCTCTGATAAAACAAAAAATTCTAACGCTAACGCGTTAACGGCCCCCTTAGATTTTAATGTTAACTTTGGCATAATAATACTACAACGATTCATCACATTAGCTACTGATTTTGCTTACACAGCAGCCAAATATCTAGGAAACTTATGTTGATCAGAATAATTAAAGTGATCGACTAAAAATCATCATATTTACTTACGGTGGTTAATTTCCAGTACGTTGGAAATTCTCAACAATTTGTCTATTAGAAATATTTCAAAGTTTAGTATGATGATCGTTCGCCAAGTTAGCTTGCTTAAATTCACTCCGCCATGACATTCACGGCAAGGAACGTGAACTTTTCAAAAATATTACGAACATAGCGTCAGATTAAGAGATCACTAAT